ACCCCGAGCCGGTACCTTCGGGGAGAAGCTGTGGAGGCTGCACTTGATGGGCGAGCTGCGGCCGAACTGCTCCAGGGCGGCCCACACGTGTTCCAGGTGGCGGACCGCCGTCAGCCCCACCGTGAGGGCGATGCCCTGGGGGGTGGGGACAGGTCACCACGTGGAGTCCAGGACAGGCTGGCCCCTCACGGGGGTGTGGAAAGTGAGGCCCAGAAAGGGAGGGGCCTTGTCTGAGGTCACAGACAGCCACCTCCCACCCCCGCACACCCTTAGGACTTGCATCTCTGAGCCCAGCCCCATGGGGGTTTCTCTTATGGGGTCTGGAGTGGGGTGGGGAGGCAGGAGGCAGAGGCGACTCCCTGGAGGCGGGTAATCCCGCCCCCCCGCCCCCCCCAGCTGTGAGCCGACATGAGCCAGAGGTGAGAACAGGAGCCAGGAGCCAGGTGTGAGCGGAGAATGAGGACCCAAGTGTGATGGGCTCAGTCTGTGACGGGGCGGGGCTCAGGGTGACCAGGATCAGGGCTCAGAGTGTGACCAGGGTCAGGGTCAGGGTGACCAGGGTCAGGGTCAGGGTGACCAGGGTCAGGGTCAGGGTGACCAGGGTCAGGGTCAGGGTGACCAGGGTCAGGGTCAGGGTGACCAGGGTCAGGGTCAGGGTGACCAGGGTCAGGGTCAGGGTGACCAGGGTCAGGGTCAGGGTGACCAGGGTCAGGGTCAGGGTGACCAGGGTCAGGGTCAGGGTGACCAGGGTCAGGGTCAGGGTGACCAGGGTCAGGGTCAGGGTGACCAGGATCAGGGCTCAGAGTGTGACCAGGGTCAGGCTCAGGGTGTGATCAGGGTCAGGGTCAGAGTGACGAGGGTCAGGGTCAGGGTGACCAGGGTCAGGATCACTCACGGGGGTGTGGAAAGTGAGGCCCAGAAAGGGAGGGGCCTTGTCTGAGGTCACAGACAGCCACCTCCCACCCCCGCACACCCTTAGGACTTGCATCTCTGAGCCCAGCCCCATGGGGGTTTCTCTTATGGGGTCTGGAGTGGGGTGGGGAGGCAGGAGGCAGAGGCGACTCCCTGGAGGCGGGTAATCCCGCCCCCCCGCCCCCCCCAGCTGTGAGCCGACATGAGCCAGAGGTGAGAACAGGAGCCAGGAGCCAGGTGTGAGCGGAGAATGAGGACCCAAGTGTGATGGGCTCAGTCTGTGACGGGGCGGGGCTCAGGGTGACCAGGATCAGTGTGACCAGGGTCAGGGTCAGGGTGACCAGGGTCAGGGTGATCAGGGT